AGTTGTGTTGCACATCATTGAGCATGGCTTGGAATACTGCAGGGGCATTAGTCAGACCAAAGGGCATCACAGGGTACTCGAAGTGGCCTAAGTGGGTGTTAAATGACTAGGTGTATCCTTAATCTGCACCAGGTGTTAGGCGTTGCGTAAATCCAGTTTGCTGAAAACTGTCATGCCCTGAAGCAGCTCAAAAGCGGAGGAGAGCAGCGGCAGCGCCTACTTGTTTTTCACTGTGATCATATTCAGGCTTCGATAATCTATGCACGGCCGCAAAGACTTATCTTTCTTAGGATAGGAAAGCAGATCAATGACACAATCATATAGGCGGTGGGGCGAAAGTGAGCGTGCCCCATCCTTACAAAAAACCTCCTGCAAAACACGGGAAATTCCCAGGACCGCAGGAAGGTCCGGGGGATCGAGCGGCGCATGAACGGGAGGCATCCCGGATGCAATGGATAAGGCAGTTAACACTCCACCCCAGGATCTTCCCTTTCTCCCAGTCAATATGTGGATTATGAAGCCAGGGATGACCCAACACTAACCGAGTGAGCCGTGCTTTGAACACGGAAAAACAAATCCTCTCAGTGCGATTGCTGGAGAGGGAGAGAGGCTCAGACACGTGGGTTATATCATCAAACTGCTCATATCTGTTTGGTTTTTTTCAGGTCCCCTTCCTTTCCCTGGGACTCTACAGGAGGTGAGCATCCCTATCGTGTCCAACACCGACTGTAACAATGCCTACAAAGGTGGAATCACAAGCAATATGATCTGTGCCGGCGTGGCTCGGGGAGGAAAGGACTCCTGCCAGGTGAGTGTCCATATGAACACCTACAAATGAGTCTGAAGCCACGATGTGAAGCACCAATCACAACGCAGACAGTGGGACCTCTGAAGGACCCAAAATATAAAACATGTATTTGTTCTCACTTTTGTCGGACTGTAAAGATCAGCTTGACTGAGTTTGTGTCCAGATGTTTTCATCACATTGAAAAACTCGCTCGACTTAAACTGTCTGAGGATTCTGATTATTTTAAATGTATTAAGATAAATTAGATAAAGAAAATTAAGTGTAAATGCTAAAAAAACAGCATAAAAAACTATGTTATATAAATTGAACACAGTAACAAGAACTATAACAATGTTTACCATTGATTGATTGATTGATTGATTGGTAATTGATTTATTATTCTGTTTCATACAGAATTTAACATTTGTGGTTTTTTTGGTGTAAATTGTGTCTCGCAAATGTTAGAAAATTCACTTTTTACACAGGTGTAAATATATCCATATATGCATCCACATGGCTGCTGGTGCTATAACCACCATGTCTGATGTGTGCAGGGTGACTCTGGAGGCCCCCTGGTGGTTAAACACGGCTCCGTTTGGGTCCAGGCTGGAATAGTGAGCTTTGGGGATGGCTGCGCTAAGCCCAATGTCCCAGGAGTCTACGCTCGGGTATCACAGTACCAGTCCTGGATCAACAGCCAGATCACCTCCAACCTGCCGGGCTTCACCTTTGTACCCTCCTCGGCTCACTTCATCTACCCCTCAGTTCCTCTGCTGCTCTCCATCCTCCCCGTCCTCTTCTCTCTCTTTGTCCTCTCATAGGAACGCATCATTTCTGCTGATATCACTGGAAAAACTGTATTTTCATCATCAGACAACAGAAAAATGTTCCCTAACATTAGAGAAAACGGGAA